TGATGGGTGTGCGAGTGTAGAGGTGAGTGTGAGTGTTTGTGAGTGTGTTACTAATGGGTGTGTGAGTGTAGAGGTGAGTGTGTGAGTGTTTGTGAGTGTTTGTGAGCGTGTTTCTGATGGGTGTGTGAGGGTAGAGGTGAGTGTGAGTGTTTGTGAGCGTCTTTCTGATGGGTGTGCGAGTGTAGAGGTGAGTGTGAGTGTTTGTGAGCGTGTTTCTGATGGGTGTGCGAGTGTAGAGGTGAGTGTGAGTGTTTGTGAGCGTGTTTCTGATGGGTGTGTGAGGGTAGAGGTGAGTGTGAGTGTTTGTGAGCGTGTTACTGATGGGTGTGCGAGTGTAGAGGTGAGTGTGAGTGTTTGTGAGCGTGTTTCTGATGGGTGTGTGAGGGTAGAGGTGAGTGCGTGACTGTGTTGTTGATGGGTGTGCGAGTGTAGAGGTGAGTGTGAGCGTTTGTGAGCGTGTTTCTGATGGGTGTGTGAGGGTAGAGGTGAGTGTGAGTGTTTGTGAGCGTGTTTCTGATGGGTGTGCGAGTGTAAAGGTGAGTGTGAGTGTTTGTGAGCGTGTTTCTGATGGGTGTGTGAGGGTAGAGGTGAGTGTGAGTGTTTGTGAGCGTGTTACTGATGGGTGTGCGAGTGTAGAGGTGAGGGTGAGTGTTTGTGAGCGTGTTTCTGATGGGTGTGCGAGTGTAAAGGTGAGTGTGAGTGTTTGTGAGCGTGTTTCTGATGGGTGTGCGAGTGTAGAGGTGAGTGTGAGTGTTTGTGAGCGTCTTTCTGATGGGTGTGCGAGTGTAGAGGTGAGTGTGAGTGTTTGTGAGCGTGTTTCTGATGGGTGTGCGAGTGTAGAGGTGAGTGTGAGTGTTTGTGAGCGTGTTTCTGATGGGTGTGTGAGGGTAGAGGTGAGTGTGAGTGTTTGTGAGCGTGTTACTGATGGGTGTGCGAGTGTAGAGGTGAGTGTGAGTGTTTGTGAGCGTGTTTCTGATGGGTGTGTGAGGGTAGAGGTGAGTGCGTGACTGTGTTGTTGATGGGTGTGTGAGTGTGGAGGTGAGTGTGAGTGTTTGTGAGTGTAGAGGTGAGTGTGTGAGTATTTGTGAGTGTTTGTGAGCGTGTTTCTGATGGGGGTGTGAGTGTAGAGGTGAGTGTGAGTGTTTGTGAGCGTGTTTCTGATGGGTGTGTGAGTGTGTGAGTGTGCGAGTGTTTGTGAGTGTTTGTGAGCGTGTTACTGATGGGTGTGTGAGGGTAGAGGTGAGTGTGAGTGTTTGTGAGCGTGTTACTGATGGGTGTGCGAGTGTAGAGGTGAGTGTGAGTGTTTGTGAGCGTGTTTCTGATGGGGGTGTGAGTGTAGAGGTGAGTGTTTGTGAGCGTGTTTCTGATGGGTGTGTGAGTGTGTGAGTGTGCGAGTGTTTGTGAGCGTGTTACTGATGGGTGTGCGAGTGTAGAGGTGAGTGTGAGTGTTTGTGAGCGTGTTTCTGATGGGTGTGCGAGTGTAGAGGTGAGTGTGAGTGTTTGTGAGTGTGTTACTGATGGGTGTGTGAGTGTAGAGGTGAGTGTGTGAGTGTTTGTGAGTGTTTGTGAGCGTGTTTCTGATGGGTGTGTGAGGGTAGAGGTGAGTGCGAGTGTTTGTGAGTGTGTTTCTGATGGGTGTGCGAGTGTAGAGGTGAGTGTGAGTGTTTGTGAGCGTGTTTCTGATGGGTGTGTGAGGGTAGAGGTGAGTGTGTGAGTGTGTGACTGTGTTGTTGATGGGTGTGTGAGTGTGGAGGTGAGTGTGAGTGTTTGTGAGTGTAGAGGTGAGTGTGTGAGTATTTGTGAGTGTTTGTGAGCGTGTTTCTGATGGGGGTGTGAGTGTACGAGTGTTTGTGAGTGTTTGTGAGTGTAGACGGGAGTGCGAGTGTTTGTGAGTGTTTGTGAGTGTAGACGGGAGTGCGAGTGTTTGTGAGTGTTTGTGAGTGTAGACGGGAGTGCGAGTGTTTGTGAGTGTAGACGGGAGTGCGAGTGTTTGTGAGTGTTTGTGAGTGTTTGTGAGTGTAGACGGGAGTGCGAGTGTTTGTGAGCGTGTTGCGGTCTGTGCCAGACGCCGCCGTCTGCGTGGCGGAGACCAGGCGGGGACTTTTTATCCCCCACCCCGCCCCCGCATCCCACCACACTCCCCGCACGGCACCACCCCACACCGAACCCCCCACCACACAGCCCCCCACCACACCCCACCACACCGCCCCCACCACACTGGCCCCAGCACCCACACCCCTTCCACACACCACCACCCCACACCGAACCCCCCACCACACAGCCCCCCACCACACCCACCACACCGCCCCCACCACACTGGCCCCAGCACCCACACCCCTTCCACACACCACCACCCCACACCGAACCCCCCACCACACAGCCCCCCACCACACCCCACCACACCGCCCCCACCACACAGCCCCCCACCACACCCCTTCCACACACCACCACCCCACACCGAACCCCCCACCACACAGCCCCCCACCACACCCCACCACACCGAACCCCCCACCACACAGCCCCCCACCACACCCCACCACACCGCCCCCACCACACTGGCCCCAGCACCCACACCCCTTCCACACACCACCACGCCGCACCGAACCCCCCACGCGGGGCAGGGGAGGTCGAGAGCGTCCCGGGAGCGAGGGTGGTGACCCACCAACCCCCGCGGGTTGGGAGACGGAGCGACGGTGGAGACAGTTCCCCGTGTGAGGAGCGGCTGCGCTCTCCTGGGTGGATCGCAGATTGTTGAAGCGATGATCATTCTCCCACTCGGTTTGGCTGCCGTGACGCTGCTTACAGATCAGCTGCGAGTGAATCACTCAACAGACCCGAGCCGCTTCATCATTTTGCTCTTCGATTTACTCTGGACGGGACCCGCCGTTGCGACCTCTACTTTCAATCCAATCTCAAATCACTCGATGCAAGAATACGTCTTCATTGCGCCTTGTTCATCCATGAATTCCTTTTGGAAAATCTGTGCTATGCTTAGCTAATTCATGAACCCCATTGTCAAACCCATGAAAGTTAAGATATCCATATAATTGCCTTTTAACTATCCCAAGAACAAGAATTTGAATCGGTGACAACGCCTTTGCCATTGCAGCACCAACGCTTTGGAACAACAACCTCGTTTCCTTCCGTAACATCATACATCTTCCTTCAAGGAATATTCTAAATTAGAACATTCGTGCTGGATAGAGCCACATTTGGCAGTATGATGTGTCACTGTGGTCCTTACCCGTGTGTCGATGGTAACATTCTAACGTTCACTTTCATTGAGGGATTGTGTTGTCTTGGTGTGGTCTGGGACTGTTCTTGCTCTCGGTTTGTTGCCTTGCCCAAGCTTGCGAACTGATGTACTTGTGCAATTATAACTTATATAGTTTATTTATTTTATATTCAAGGGGCGCCACGGTGACGTGATGTCATCTTCCTCGCCTGGTGTGCAAGAGGTCAGGGGTTAGATCCCGATCCTGACGCCTGCTGAATATTTGTAGTTTGCATGTTCTCCCTATGGTCGTGTGGATTTTTCTCCGGGTCCTCCGGTTTTTCCTTCCACATTTAGAATCCACATCACGCATTTAGATTATTTGGCTGCTATAAATTTCCACGTGATAAGCCACTTCGTTGAGCAATCATTTGTGGCCAGGTCGGTGCTAAAAATGAGCTATATAGCTCAGTGAGCCGTATCTGGTAAGATAACAAGTATAACCCGTAAAAACAAAGGTTTTCACTATAAATCCTTAATATGCGTGGTGGCTAGAGTCCTCTCGTCCTCTGGCTTGAGATGGCTGCCACCTATGGGTCAGATGATTGCATGCCACCATTAAGCAATTGGTAATTAAATATAATATTTTTGTCCTAAAAAGTGAAAAATTTTGGAGAAAATTTTTCACTTTTTATAATATTTTTGTCCTAAAAAGTGAAAAATTTTGGAGAAAATTTTTCACGAACATTAATTGTCACGCACAACGAGTATGTGTGCAAAATGTCAGCTCGATTGGATCACGGGAAGTGGGTTAAAAAACGACCGAAAGATTTGCACGGTCGTAAGCAAGCAAGTGAACTTAATATAAAGGATTTAATAAAGGATTTACAAATATATTCGCCTGTGGAGGACGCGGGGATCGATCCCGCGACCTTTGGCATGGGAAGCGTGGGCCCTACCAATTGCACTACTCCGCCAGGGCCTGTGGAGGTGTCACGCTCTGGGCTCCTACACTGACGTTCAGCCAAAGCCATAAATGAGTTATATTTGAATAAATGTCAAATACATTTTTTTGGGCTAAAAAGTGTAACATTTTGGAAAAAAAATTTCACGAACATTAATTGTCACGCACAACGAGTCTGTGTGGAAAATGTCAGCTCGATTGGATCACGGGAAGTGGGTTAAAAAACGACCGTAAGATTTACACGGTCGTAAGCAAGCAAGCGAACTTAATATAAAGGATTTATAAAAAATGGTTTAGCTTTAGATTATTTATTTATATGTTAGTGATTTGCTTACCTTTCCTATACTTTGCACTCCTATCGTTACAGTATTTGTATTGTTTCATGTAACTTTCTGACGTACCCCTACTGGACATCTGTGAAAAAGAGCTTCATAGCTCATCGGATTTCTCCAGGATAGATATTCTGATTTTGAGAGGAATGCAGGCCTCCATCCAGCAGTGGGCTGACCATGCCTGGATGACGATCATGATGGTGATAGAATGACATCACTATTACTGTCAAGACTGAGGCAGAGAGAGACAGTGAGAGGGAGGTAAAGGGAGAGAGACAGAAAGGCCGAGAGAGAGACAGAGAGAGCGAGAGAGGCAGAGAGACAGGGAAACAAGGAGGGAGAGAGGCAATGAGATAGACAGGGAGACTGAGGCAGACAAGAGAGCAAGAGCCAGTGAGAAGCAGGAGACTGCGATAGAGACACAGCTACACACGGTACGAGTGGTGGGGGTCGCTCGCGTCACGATGACCCCGATGACCTTTGCATCCAGGTTCAGCAGCGACCTCAAATTCATGACGGGGAGGAAGCCCAACTACTACTGGATGGTGACGTGGCGCTTCATCAGCCCCCTGCTGCTCGTCGTCGTCTTCGTCGCCTACATCGTCGTGCAGACCCAGACCCCGCTCACCTACGAGTCCTGGAACCCCAAGTTTGTGAGTCACGTGTACTCCGCTGCTGGACAGTAACCGGCCACTCCGTCGATCGACCGCGGTCACGCGAGCGCACGTGACGGAGCTTGGCGTGTTCGTCGGTCAGCCCACGTCACCTGGGACTGTGCCGTGACTTCCTGCCAGCAACGGGCTTTTAACACATCACGCGAAGAGCTCAGAGCACACCTAGCTTGTCACGATCGCCGTGGTAACGTCACCACCACTTAGCGGCAAACGGTGGCCGTTGTTAACAAGAAAAAGTATCTCATAGACGACGTTTTGGTCAATGGCAGACGCCACATGGCACTGCCTCTGGTGACGTCACGTGTCACTGTTACGTGTTGTCGTGTCGCCTATCACGTAACAATGACGAGCGGGTAGAGAGCCAGGACCGGCGCTAACAGCCATTGCCCGAGCTCTGCGGTGCTCCAGTAGGGGGTGACGTTGCTGCCGTGCGATCCCAATTGAGTCACCTGCGGTGTCATTCTTAAAATTGTTTACCGTGACGATGCCGCCGGCACACAGTGGCACTCCTCTTGTGAAGGACGTCACGGGGTTTTTAACGTCCGCTGGGAGTGATGCGGACGGCGCGTGGAAGTAGCGGCAGTCGTGGTCCTGTTACAGTGAGTGCAGTGGACTCTCGATTATCCGCGTTTGGTTTATCCAACTTGCGGATTAACCGCACACCTGAGATTTTGACGTAAATTGATGACTAATAGATTTTCCCTTAAGCCCAAATTAATAATCTAATAACGGTTACACATTGTTATTCTTGGGAATGTTTACTACAAGTCACGTGCTTACACCGAACAAATATCTGCTCCAATTATTCCGAAATCCACTCTACAGTACAGTAGTTGCATATCTCTATAACCGTAGGCGGAGTCCGATTGATGTTGAGTGGCGTGGCCCTGCTGCTGTCCACTTAGTGGGCGCAGTCTTCTGCTGCGCGGGAGCAGGAAAGTGTTATCACTGAGCACGCGCATCGATCGGTCAATTATTTTCAAACGTTTTTAGTTTTGTTCATTAACAAATTACATTTTATTAACTTAAACATAATTTTTACCTATATTAGTAGTTTTTGGCCTAGAGACCCGCTGAAATGGATATTGTTGGAAAATACGCGATTTTCAATTATTCTGAATTATTTGCGGTCGTCCTTCGTGCAGATAATGGAGAGTCTACTGTACGCGCACTACAGTAGTGTCCAGGGTGGCCGTGGAGTCGAACCGCTAACCTCCCCAGGAGCGAGCAGGGAGCCCTGCAGCGCTGTGAGACAAAACTCAAACCAGACACCCCACAAAATCACCATTTGGCGAACTACCCATATGTAGAAGAAAGTAGGCGTGGCATTGCCTCGTGGGGGCGTGTCTATGCCCATGCCTGGTCTTGTGGAGCCCGAATCGAGGTGTCTGCATTATTGATTCTGCTCACAGTCGAGCCGACAGCAACGTTAGAGCATCGATTCACCGATGGTTAATCACTGCGTGGATTCATTGGCAAGAGATCCACCGATCGAGTAATCCCATTGGCTAGCACAGCGCCGTGTGATTGGCTGACATCTGCGTGGTCGGTGATTCGCTCGTAGGCCGTTTCTATTGTTCGTTTGTCGGCCATGATGGACAGAGAAGGCAGAAGGTGATGCCGTGGGGGTGGCACAGTCGCGCCGGGGGGGTAACACCGGGAGGTGGCTCGTGCTCACTGCATACTAACCAACGTCACACGCGTAGAACGCGCCATCAGCCCTGCCCCTGGCCCTGCTTGGCCCCAATTGAGATCGCATTACTCCTGACGCCGGCGTGTGTAGCACAGTTTGGTTCTGTTTCAGCTCAGATGTGCCAGTGGAAAGAGGTTTACACGAGTGTCTTTCTGTATCTCTCTCTGCTTCTGCCACTCTCTCTCTGCATCTCTCTGTCTCTCCCTCTCTCTCTCTCCACCTTTCTGCACGTTCATCGCCGGGCGGTTGCAGTCTGACTTCCCGCAGAAGGAGCAGCTCCCCTACCCGGCCTGGATGATCTTCATCATCGTCCTGCTCGTCGCCCTGCCTTGTCTCTTCATTCCGGGAGTCGCCCTCTACCGCCTCATCCGGTGTCGCTGGCACCGCAGCGACATCCCGGACATCACCACCCTGGCCGGGGCGAAGGGCGACGATGAAGATGGAAGCGACAACTTGGCCTACATGGGTGGTGACGATGATGATGATGATAAGCGCTCAGAAGAGGGGGGGGGGAAGATACCGGACAAGGGAGTGAAAGTGTAGGGAGATGGGTGCAGGAGGAGGAAAGGGGTGGGCGGTTCATAATGGCCGGTCACCATAGACCATCACAGAGACCCATAGACCATCATAGAAACCCATAGACTGACATAGAGACCCATAGACTTACGTAAACATCTATAGACATACAGAGACCAATAGACGCACATAGAGATCCATAGACTCACATAGACACCCATATAGACATACAGAGACCAATTGATTCACATACAGACCCACATAAAGACCAATAGACTCACACAAAGACCAATAGACTCACAGAGACCCATAGCCACACACAAAGACCCATAGACTCGTACAGAGACCCATAGAGTCGCATAGAGTGAGTTGTGATGAAACAGGATTCTCAGGTGTCGTGATTCTGACTTTGTGGTGCTGGTCCTGACGATACTTGGCGCAGCTTCAGGTAAATTGTCGCAAATCTGATCGCTGCTGATCTTGCTGTGTGAATTGTTACTCACCACTGGTGGTGAGGGGGTGAGTGAGAATTGCTATCTAACGCACCACTGGTGGGAGAAATAATTCCTCCCCCCCGCCCGCCCCTGGCAGTGTGCGGCTGCGGGATAAGAGTCCTCTGTGTGCCGCTATCACCGGTGATTACGTCTCTGATGACCTCTGGAACATTGCCCCGCCTTAGAATGCCTGCACGTTCTCCCCCCCGCCCCCCTGTTTCCTCACGGGCTTCCTCCTCCCATAGCTAACCCCACACCCACAATGGAACTGGCATCGGCCAACCAACCCCACATCCCCGACTGCTGCAACCAACTTGACGAGAGTCACGAGACTCGGTGAGACTCTCCCGGGGGGATAGACGAGGGGGCTGATGTCGGTGTCTGGTGGCTCAGCGGCTCAGTGGCATGGATTCGATCCCAAGAGACTGGGTTCGAATCCAGACCCAGGTCTTCAGCCTCCAGACCCAGGTCTCCAGCCTCCCGACCAACTGTGATGCAACGGGATTCTCACAGTGTCAAATAGCCAGTCACTCACAAGCAGACAGTCGCCTCCCTGTCGCTCTTCTGTCGCTGCTACTGCCGTGGTCACCGTGCACGTGAACTTCACTCCGCTGGCTTCCTCCTCCCGTGCTGAGGACTCGGTCCGTACAGACGCTGACTGAGTCGTCTCATCCAGCACACGCTGTGCAACCACAACCACCACCACCACGTGATGCTCAACCACCACCACAACCACCACCACCACGTGGTGCTCAACCACCACACGACAAATCACAACATCTCACCTACCCACTTTGCCACTCACCCACTCACTCGCCCAAACTCTGGAGTCCCGTCCTCCCGTCGTCTCTGTCCCCCATTCTATTACAATAATAATAAGAACCTTGCTCAATTCTATTCAAATGTCAACTCTAATTACCAATTACAACCCTCTAATAGTGCTGCTTGTTGCTGAACGTTTGACGCTTTGGGCCTGTGCCCAGAAACTGTTGACATGTATCTTGAGGGAAGGGAGTCAGATTCTCCATCCCAGCGCTGGCAACAGCAGCAGGAGTCCAACTCAGGCAGAATTTGTGCAGCATCAGCAGCAACTGTGACAGCTGCTCGGAGTTGCAGAACAAGAACATTGGCGAGGCACAGATGTATCGCCGGGATCGGGAGCCGGGGAGAGCGATGTTCTAGCAGCTTCCCAGGGAGGTTTCATTCTTTCCTGAAGGCCCCTGCCTGATGGGGCAGTTGAACGCCAACAACCTCAGCTCTGCACTCCACAGGAGCACTCCGATGTCCGCTGCCGTTGGCGGAACCCGAGAGCCCAGAGCCCAGTCCAGAGGTTAGGCGGCGCTCTGGTGACGAGATGTTAACTCCCTCGCCTGGCGCGCAGGAGCTCGTGGGGTCCATCGCGACCCTGACGCCTGCTGCTGTATATTTTGAGTCTGCGTGTCTCTCCGTGGTCGCGTAGATTTTTCTCCGTGTCCTCTGGAGATTCCTCTCCACATGTCGAGTCAACATCACCACGCGTTCAAAGTTAGTCGGCTGCTGTAAATGTCCACGTGACGATAAGCCGCTTCGTTGCACTATAAGTTGTGATAGCCAGGCCGCTTCTGAAACAAAGAGCTATACATTTTACGAAGGAGTGTATAGTTCAGTTTTAGATCGACGCCACCACCCGTGGCTCTGTGGGGTCCGCTCACGAGGTACAGGCGCAGCGCCTACACTTTGCTGGCTCACGTCCCCTGCTGGCGGGGAGGGCCGGCACCACCACCACTTAGCGGGCCAGCTCCACGGGGTCTTCGTGGCAACCTCGTCCCCGCTGGGCCGCAGCTGGTCCTGGAGGAAGCAGAAGCAGAAGAGGTCTTGAGAGTGAGCCACAGGCCGGGGGCGACCCGCACGTTACCCACCACGCTCGTTCGGAGCTGCCGATCAACTCGACCAACCGCGGGGTGCCGAGCGCGGTCAGTCGGCGGGGTGGACGCGGGGAGGCGTCTGGGGGAGGGGGTTTGTTGTTGTGAATCTCGCGCTGTTGTTTCAACTGCCACGCCAGGAGATTGGATCTAAGCGTCCCCTGTCAATCACATCACCTGTCAATCACATCGCCTGTCAATAACGCCGTCCCCTGTCAATCACACCGCCTCCTGTCAATCACACCGCCTCCTGTCAATCACATGACCTGTCAATCACACCGCCTGTCAATCACATCGCCTGTCAATAACGCCGTCCCCTGTCAATCACACCGTCTCCTGTCAATCACATGACCTGTCAATCACACCACCTGTCAATCACTCACCTGTCAATCACATCGCCTGTCAATCACATCGCCTGTCAATAACGCCGTCCCCTGTCAATCACACCGTCTCCTGTCAATCACATGACCTGTCAATCACACCGCCTGTCAATCACACCACCTGTCAATCACATCGCCTGTCAATCACACCGCCTGTCAATCACACCACCTGTCAATCACACCACCTGTCAATCACTCACCTGTCAATCACACCACCTGTCAATTACACCACCTGTCAATCACACTACCTGTCAATCACTCACCTGTCAATCACACCGCCTGTCAATCACATCACCTGTCAATCACACCGCCTGTCAATCACACCGCCTGTCAATCACATCACCTGTCAATCACATCGCCTGTCAATCACTCACCTGTCAATCACACCACCTGTCAATCACACCACCTGTCAATCACACCGCCTGTCAATCACATCACCTGTCAATCACACCGCCTGTCAATCACAACACCTGTCAATCACTCACCTGTCAATCACTCACCTGTCAATCACACCGCCTGTCAATCACACCACCTGTCAATCACATCACCTGTCAATCACATCGCCTGTCAATCACACCGCCTGTCAATCACATCGCCTGTCAATCACACCGCCTGTCAATCACATCGCCTGTCAATCACACCTCCTGTAAATCACACCACCTGTCAATCACATCACCTGTCAATCACATCGTCTGTCAATCACACCTCCTGTCAATCACACCACCTGTCAATCACACCGCCTGTCAATCACATCGTCTGTCAATCACACCGCCTGTCAATCACACCGTCACCTGTCAATCACACCGCCTGTCAATCACACCGCCTGTCAATCACATGACCTTTCAATCACACCGCCTGTCAATCACACCACCTGTCAATCACATCACCTGTCAATCACATGACCTGTCAATCACACCACCTGTCAATCACATGACCTGTCAATCACATCGCCTGTCAATCACACCACCTGTCAATCACATCACCTGTCAATCACATCGCCTGTCAATCACACCACCTGTCCATCACATCACCTGTCAATCACATGACCTGTCAATCACATCGCCTGTCAATCACACCACCTGTCAATCACATCACCTGTCAATCACATCGCCTGTCAATCACACCACCTGTCCATCACATCACCTGTCAATCACATGATCTGTCAATCACATCGCCTGTCAATCACATGACCTGTCAATCACACCGCCTGTCAATCACACCACCTGTCAATCACATCACCTGTCAATCACATGACCTGTCAATCACATCGCCTGTCAATCACATCGCCTGTCAATCACACCACCTATCAATCACATCGCCTGTCCATCACACCACCTGTCAATCACATCGCCTGTCAATCACACCACCTGTCAATCACACCCCCTGTCAATCACACCGCCTGTAAATCACATGACCTGTCAATCACATCGCCTGTCAATCACATCACCTGTCAATCATGCCGTCACCTGTCAATCACACCAGCTGTCAATCACACCACCTGTCAATCACACCGCCTGTCAATCACATGACCTGTCAATCACATCGTCTGTCAATCACATCACCTGTCAATCACATCACCTGTCAATCATGCCGTCACCTGTCAATCACGCCATCGCCTGTCGCTCACACCGTGAGCCCGAGTGACGGCTCTGCTCCCACCGGGGCGCCAGGGGTCACGACGGTGGTGGTGCTGCTGGCGATGAACCTCACGTGACCTATGACCTATGGCTAACGATCCCGTGACCCCCACCCCCCAGGGAGGGGCAGCAAAACTAAGCAGACGCGTGGCCCCCCTTCACTAACCTCTATCTCGACTCATTCACCCGGTTACGGTTTTACACATCCCATGAGCCACACACACACACGGCATTCCTTCTGGGAGTGCTATCATTTTCAACCACAAGTGAAACCTCTGGACCGGTTTCTGCTGGTGAGACCCTCAACAGCTCTATCATTGCACAGCATAGCCGAGCTCGCCTAAATAACAACAATACAGATGAAGCCGCAAACAACAACAACACCTCCTCCCCACCGAGTCTCCTCGCTCTGCGTTTGACCACCGCTTGGCCAGCCCCCCTGAAGCACATCCGCAGGTGGGCTCCACCTGTCCCGTCTGTACGGGTTCGAGTGTTGCCCGCTCACACACACGAGCGTTTTCTCCGGTCGCCCGCCACGCAGACAATTTCTGACGGCGGCTGTGTGGTGGGGTGTGTAACAACAGGTCGTGCTTTCCACAGTAAAGCGAACGCCAGTAAAAGCAGAAGGCAAACTTTGTTCTGAATTGTGTCGCGGTGATGCTTCCTGTACACGTGCGTGCGCATGTGTGTGTGTGGCGCTCGGTACAAATGTCCCCCTTGCAGACATAATAGACTGTTGGGGCAAGTGCCGTTAGCGAGTAGAACCTGTGAGGGTCAGCACAGTGGCAATATTTACACATCGCACCAGGTACTCATTTGAGGCTGAGTCGATATAGGGGAGGCCCAGAACCGGTTCACATAATCGTCACTGGTGGTGGCGTGAGCGGAAATGGAACTTGGGTCGCCGGGTTAGTAGCGCAGTGCGCTAACCGCTGCGCTACCGCTCCCCACGTATACACAAGGGGGTGATCATGATTCCAGCTTTCTGAGTTAGAATCACGGCTCACATTAGTGGCAAGTGATCGGGTATCTGAATCGGTCCCACTTGGACTCCAT